TCGCCCTTCGCCCTGCACTCCCAGTTGGCCCAGTTCCTCCTCGACAGGTCAGCGGCGGGATGCTGCAAAACACTTAAAACCCCCTTAAAAACCGGGATGGGGATGCTGCAAAACACTTAAAACCCCCTTAAAAACCCTTGGGAAAAGAAAAAGAAAGGTTTAAACTCGCTCACTCTCCTTCTTCCCGCCACAGGTACAGCTCCCACGACTGCGTCTGGAGCCCAACTAGGCGCCTCCCACCCCAAATCCACGTTGGCCTCGATTTTATTTTGGGTCCAAAAGAGGTTTATGGTGAAGAGAGAAGATTCCCGTTGCATTGCGGTGCTTGGGTGCTGGAGATGCACCTGGAGATGCTCACCCCCCCCGAGCAGGAGGCGAATTGCTCCCTGGGTTTGGCTGCGTTGGGGTTGTTGGCATCCCCGGCTCTTTTTTTTTTTTGGGGGGGGGGGGGAGCTATTTGAGGTTTTGGGGGTTGTTAAAGAAGGGGAGCTCTTAATACGGTGGAAACATCAGAGCCTGCATGAGATGGTGGGGAAGGTGGAGGGAGACCCTTGCAGGTGTCCCACCTGCCCTACGCTGGTTTTACACGATGCAGAACAACCGAAAAGCCAAGTTTGGAGCCGGTTTTCACCGATTTGTCTGATTTTTGTGCCTTCACCAGGCGAGTCGGAGCCCAACCTTCTCCATACCGATGCCCCGCCGCGCCTGGTCGTCCTGTCCCACGGTCACGGCCAAGAGTGCGGTTTCATCCCCGACGTGAAGCCCCCGGCCCCGGGCAGCACGTCCCAGCTGGTGTGGGAGTGCGTGGCCGGGCACAGCTTCTCCTGGGGTGTCCCTGGGGCGGTGGGGCCGTACCCCCACAACCAGCCACCACAGAGAGGAACAACGGGGGGACTCGGGGTGCAGCTCCCCACCGGTCACCGGCCGCCGGCGCTCGCTCCGGCGAGCAGGGCTGGCCGCCGAATCCGGCTCCGGGAAGGGCGAAGCCGAACCGGAGGGAGCAGCTCGGTCACCCGTCGGTGATGGGGACCAGAGAGAAGAGCCGGGAGCTGGTAGTGATGACAGTGATGACGGCAACGCAGGTGAGCTCCTCTGTGTTCCCTTCTCCACCCTCCTTTCCCCATCGGTTTCTTGATTCCCCATCTTCAGCCCTTCTCCCAGTCCCAGGGGCACATCGACCACCTTCCCAGTGGGATCAGGTTGTTGCCCCAACCCCCTTTGCCTCCCTCTTGCTCCAGATTTGATAGCACCGTCGTGTAAAACAAATTTCTGGGCCTTTGCTGGAAAAACAGGTAGAGGACTCTCCCACCGGGCTTGTTCCTACCACAAAACAAGCCTGTATCTTCTCCGTCCTTTCCTTCCCCGGAAAAGCAGAGCTGGGGGACCTCAGGTTCATTACAGGTGTTGAGCAGAAAACCTCACTGAGCCCACGCAGACGCAGCTCTCAGCAGTTTCCAAGAGCCACAGCTCTTGTCGCTTACCCAGACTGAAAACCAGGGGCAAAAATCTTTTTTTTGCCCTGTAGTAGCTACTTGAGAAGCGGTTGAGCTTCTTCCAGTAGAGTATTTTGGAGTAACTTGGCCCTCATTTCTTTTGGTCAGCGGGATGGCACCGTGCAGGTCCTTTCCAACGCCTGCAGGCTTCCCAACCCTGCTGCCAGATCCACTCCCCATCCTCCTCCTCCCTCCTCTGCCTCTCCCAACATCCCGGCTCAACCAGCCCCGCTTCAACTTACCGCAACTCCTGTCGTCTCCTTGCAGCTCCCCAAGTGCCGACAGAGACGGGGACCATGGCAAAAGATCACGGGAGGTGAGTGGTGGCATGCGTGAGCCTTCCCCCAGTGTAGTAACTGGGCTGTCCGAAGCTGAAGGTTGAGTTTGGACCCATCCATCTCATCCCTTGAGTTCTCCAACGGGCAGCCAACGTTTTAACGAAGACCTTCCACAATAAAACCCGTTGCGGTAGAGTTGACTTTGACCGTTGTCTTCCTGCAGCGCCCCCATCCCGGAGGAGAAAGCGGAGCGGGGGGCTGAGCCCCAAGAAGAAGAGGAGGAAGAGGAGGACGAGGACTTTGCCGAGGACGACGACCTCGCCTACACCGATGACGTGCGTGATGAGAACTACCACCCATCTCTGGACAGGTGAAGAGCGCTTAGAGCTGCTGGGAAGGAGCCTGTGGACTGGGACCACGTGAGAGCCAGTCCACAGGCTCCCAGTCACGCTGTCCCAGTCCAGACGGGTATCGCACTGGCAGGGTTTCGGACCTTACATCCCTGCCACCCTCTTGTCTTGCTACAGCTGACCCTAGCAGAGATGGGAGGAGATGGGAATAATGTCCTTGTAGCACCTAAATAAGGTGCTTCTGAGCTCAAAAGGGTACAGCCTTTTGGGAAGGCACCTTCTTTCACTGTATCTCTGCCTGGGTGAGGGTCTTTGCCATGTCCAACCACGTCCAAACAATGTCCTGTCACGTCCAACCACGTCCAAACAATGTCCAACCACATCCAACCATCTAAACCGTCTTGCCTATCCCACGTCCGTCTTCTCCCCCAGCGACTCTGAGCCACAGCGGCGACAAAGCCAGACCAAAGCCCGTAAGAAGCCCGTAAAGGAGGAGCAGCCCCTGACTGAGCCGAGCCTGACGAGCTCCAGCCCGTCGGAGGAGAAGGTTGGACGAGTCAGGTGAGTCATGACGGCCACGTCGGTGTGGTGACGCTGAGGATGGGCATCGGGGTGCCTGTCTTGGGGCATCCGTCGCTCCGTGGCCACTGAACGAGCGTTTTGGGGCATGTTGGAGATGCTTTCCATGTTGAGAAACCAGGCGGAAACCGTCCAACCCAACAATAAACGATGTTCAAGCCCTGAGCTCTGGGCAGGGCAAGAGCCACGTGTCCCCGAGGGGGTTTAATCCTTCTCCTTGGCGGTGCCGTCGTCCGCAGGGCAGAGCTGCGTTGCTTGGCCTCGTTGGGTGTTGGAGCTCGCAAAGGGGGTGGGGGGGGGTCTGGCACGCCGATCTATGGGGGGGCTTAACGAGTCTTCATTTCGTCCACCGTGTCTCTCGTGGAGCCGGTCCTGGGTGGTCGGAGCGAGGAGACGTGCTGCTGGGGCAGGGGTCGCCCCCGGA